AGATCGTAGAACAACGGGTTCCTCATCGGGGGTGGGGGGCGTGCACGCGTTATCAAAAACTTTGCACACCGTATTAATCAGTGCTTTCAACTGAACGGCGGGCATCTGGAGCATGTACTCTAGGGCTCCTCTTGACATTTTTCGTTCATTTTTTAGACTAAATGGTTGCAGATCCTAAAATGTTATCCTTTTACTTTTCTATAAATGTAATTTCCATTATTTGTGATCCTTTATTTTTGCTCGATTATTTTATTTCAAAAATTGTGAAACAAGCTGTATTTACTAATTAAAAACTTTAAAAAAAGAATGCATTTTATAAAAATTATCGAAATAATAACCTCACGAAACTGTTTTCAAAAGAAAATGTAAGGACATTTTTTGTAAAATGTAAGGTCATTTTTTGTAAAATGTAAGGACATTTTTTGTAAAATGTAAGGACATTTTTTGTAAAATGTTATATCCTTTTAAGTCAACCGATCATACATTCGTTTTTCTTATCTGTGAACTGTCATGGCAGCATGGGAACGATACATGTAAAGAAATGGTGAAACAACTCATATCATGTCTAATAGGGCGGCTTGCAAATCTCTGTTGCAAATGCAAGCTCAGGCACATTTTGTGCTTGTTCAATACCCACAAAGCTCACGTGTGGTTTATACTACAACTATGCTGAGCGGACCTTAGTTACCGTTTCTGGGAGAGAGCGAGTTATCCAGTGTGATTAACTGTCTGAACAAGGCTAGGACGCTCACACCCTCGGTCATGATGACTTGGGAAAAGTAATGGCGTAGTTACCCAATTTTATTTTCCCGCTTTTGAATTCCGAACATTCCTTCCCTTAGAATAAAGTTTGGGATTAAAGATTAAGCGACGATTTAAATCCCTTAGACTCTAAGGGAAAAGTGATCTCATGCCTTACCCCCCCAAGAAAAAAAAACTGCATTTACACGAAGGTGAAAGCAGCAGATAAAGTGGAATTGCATGATGCCGTTTTAAAAACATCCTCACATCCAAATAGACGGATATATCTATCTATCTATCTATCTATCTATCTATCTATCTATCTATTTATCTATCTATCTATCTATATATATATATATATATATATATATATATATATATATATATATATACAAACTAATTCAGAAGAACAGCTTTTTAATTTTGAGTGAAAACGAAACGACTCAATCAATCAATGTTTTAACATTGATCGATTGAGTCGTTTTCACAGCTCAAAAAGATTGAAAAGTCAGAAAGTATTTTAAGATGGTGGTGGGGGTAATGATTTAGTAATACAAATCTTACTAATTAATCCATAGCCGAGAGGAGAAGAGGTGGACTAATATCTTTTCCCAAGGGTACTTGCTGGTAAGTGAATATATCGAAGTCAACTGAAAATGGAACTCGGCTCTCCGGTTAAAAATTTCGAGCCATTATCTATTACACCACCCGCACATCCAATTTGGATTCCGTTGCGCTCGCAAAAGTTGCTTGTGTAAATTTGTTATTCCATCTCTTCCAAATGTTGCCTCATATGAAAAGAAGACTGAAGAAACAAACAACGGATCAGCAGTTTGTGCAATAAACAATCAGCAAAAGTTTTCCCGTGGCAAAAGACCTGCACACATTGCAAATGATACAGATACAATAGCTGCTCTTGCTTGAAGTACTCTCCTTGCGGTACTATAAGATGTACGGCATGCTATGGCTACATGGCGTGTGCTGATAACTGGATCGTTTCCGACAGTCTGTAGAATGTGTAGTCGGTCTTCTTCAATCCATAGTTTGTGGTGCCACAAATCCTGTCTCAGCAACGCGACGATAAACACCAGCAAAAGTGGATGACTCGGCTGCCTTCGGTCTTGAAACGCAATCTGATAAAGCCGTACCGCCTAGCTTCCATTACCATTCGCGCTGTTCTATGTAAAAATTATATATCTGCCTGCTTACGATATGAAAATCCTGCCATTGTTAAACGGATCACTTCTCAGGTAACTCACTACTACACACACACGTTGAAGACAGACTAGCCATAAATGTACACGAATGGCAAATGTAACTTAGTCTAGGTGTCAACACAGTTCCATCTACCATAAACTTTCTTTAAACTTAACTAAAATAGGACGGATTTGAGGACATCTGTTTATATGGACTTTTATCCTTGTTTTGGTTTGAGGAAATCGCCCCCAAATTTTGTAAAAGTATTTCTGATGCACCCTGTACGTTATATAGCGGTGATAATGTTATGCCTTGCTTAGGCTACTCGCCGTGACGTCTGTTAGAAATTCTCCCGACTGACTCCATCTGGCTGGTATTTATTTAGCCTCCCCACTGAGACGAGATCTGACACAAGGTCGAGTTTAGTATGGGAAACCCGAGCGCATAGATTCGGGGCAAAGGTCAAAATGTACCCTGTCCCGCAACTGCAAGATTTTTGCATTGTCTGTTTTTCTCAGCTGAGTCTCCGACCATTGACAGAATACAGACTGAGTAGTACTCTGCCGGAAGACAGAGAGCTTGACAATCACGAGCCAGACTAACTCGAACGGACAATATTTCTTTTGGGTAAAAATACAAAAAAAATGGCATAACGCCAAATGTGGAGTCGAGGAAAACTGGTCATCATTTGTCTTACTTTAAACTTAGTAATAATCACTGACCAAAAGAAACTATACAATATTTCTTGCACCAAAATACCAAAATTCTTACTTATCATTCTTATTACAACCTCCATAATACCTCAATTTCTCGGTGAATATATACAGAGAAGTAGAAAGTGTTAGTACGAACAATCAGGTTTAGTAGGGAGAACAATGTAGTCTCGACCAGTATCACTATTCCAATGTCTTGTAGTAATTGTCTGAACGCGACTCTGTTTCGGACTGCCTCTGACTCGACTGACTGACTCGTTCGCTCTGACTGACTGACAGACTCCTGACGGACCTCACTCCAGACTTCAGACTGAACAGTATTTAGTCACCTCCCCATGAGGGCATCATGTGGCACAAGGCCGGTTTAACGTGGGATCTCCGAGCCCGTGGGATCTCCGAGCCCGTGGGCTCGGCCAAAAATATGCCCTTTGAACCCGTATAAAGTGGGAATGGGGGAATAGACTAAAGAAAGTGGGGACAAAATAAAAGTGGCCCATAAGCATACATTCCCTTCCTAAGATAACTTGCCGTAAAGAAAACTTACAAAACCAAACGAGTCTAAACGAGCCTATTTTGGGTGAGGTTGTCAGTGTTTATTACAGGGCGCCCAGTATCCAGATGTCTAACCGGCATCAAAATGCCACCCTATGTCAGATCCTTTTACTCGACATAGACGTGAAGGACTAACCCACTTTTTACCAAATTCTGATGGAACGAGTCGTAGACTTTCCGCCTTGATCTTGACTTTAAGCTGATGCTTAAAGAACAAAATCACTTGTGAAGAGATAAACTTTTCGTTTCCATAGAATTCCTTCTCTCGCGTCATCCATATCACGCCTCGCATAGCATCTAGTAAGCACAAGAACACATAGTCAACGACATTACAACATTGCTACAAAAAGAACTGCTCTCGAGGACAAAGAACTTTTTTGTGAATCATGATGTCTTCAATAAACTTGCATAACGAGACTACGAAATTGCAGTGAAAGAAAAGGTATCCCAGGGTCTCCAGTGACTAACCGCAGCGAATGCCGTTAGAAGAATTTCCCAAGCCCGTTGAAGAAATTATTTTCCGACCCAAATGGCCATTTGCAACGCCAGCCAGGTAAGGGATGCTTCATTGTTAGTGCGGTATTTCAACCCAGGCTCCCGAAGCCTTATGGAGCGATCCTCCTGCTTCGTTATCCCGAGCTCGCCATACTATCTTAAACGGATCCCCTCAATGAAATCTGATATAATGCCTTACGGGACAACGCCTCGACGTCGCAGATGTCATCCGTCTCCCGTAAGTGGAATTTCAGAGCTAACCGGCATTCACGAGAGGAGAACTCACTTCGGGGTAAACGGTGGGCTTCCTCCTCCTCTCACGATTGCACACTTCTCAGTAACGGGTCATTCTTACTGGTGTCTTCCTTCCAGAATTCGGCATTCCCATCCGCTTGCGAACACATTTGGTCTAGGAACGCGATGCGAAGCCTATATTGACGAATCTCAACGCTAGGCATACCCTGACCGCCTTGCCTCCCTACAAGAAGGAGTACAAGACCCTAACTAATTGCATCAGTAAGGTATGCGGGGGTGGAAACACGGAGAATCGGTAAAAGAGAATTGGGTAGATATACGAAACACATACTTCCGACCTTCCCTTTAAGGAAAGATTCGTCCGAAACCACAGAGAAACTGCGTCTTCTACCGCACCTCCGACCAATTCATTTCCAGCAAGAGATCGAGGCCGACCCAGACGCCGAGTACCTTGACCGTCCCGTCCGTCCAGACGAAAGGCCTAGGAAGAGAAACTCCCTTCCCGCCTCCAACCAGAAGCCAACAGACTTATCGCAATTGATCTTGGCTCCTGTCACCGTCTCGTACATTCTGATCTGTTTGCAGACTTCATCAATCTCGGCTATGTCCGACACAAGAACCGAAACATCATCAGCATAGGCGGAGTACCTGGACGAGGTGGTAGCACCAGGTAAGGAAATTCCGCGTTGGACCAGATTCGACTGTAACTTGCGAAGGAAATGCTCCAAAGCATCATGGGTGGTCCGATCTCATTAAGTTTCGTTGCACCAAATGACTTGTCGCGTTTCTTTCGCGCGCAATTTTTAATATTGAGTCAAGCGACTCCAAGTGCATTTAACGTCTTGTTTTTATCATCCATGAGACTTGTTCGCTAAGGTCAATTCTTTTAGACACCACGGGCTTTCGCCTGAAAGCTTTTAGCTTTCCACAGAGAGAGGAAGAGTAATTAACAGAGAGAGAGAGGGAGAGAGAGAGACTCAAAGTTACAGGGAGAGAGGAAGAAAGAGAAAGTCAGAGAGAAAGAGTGAGAGTGACGTTAATAGTCACAGAGAGAGAGAGAGAGAGAGAGAGAGAGAGAGAGAGAGAGAGAGAGACCACTATAACAACTTAACCTCCCTGAGTTTAATGAATTATAATTTAGAGGTGTCGGTGTAGGATATTCACAACTCAAGAATTTTTGTAGTGCTTCTTCGCTCACTTTTTCATTACTTGCTTTTTTTCAAAGCTCTCTTAAAAGTATCCACAGACCGTTCAGCTTGTCCGTTTGACCTTGGATGATTCAATTGAAAACATTTTACAATTTTTTAAATTCTTAAGCAGTGAATAGTGAACCGTTATCCAAGACAGAATGACATATCTTGCCAACAATTCGTGTAAAAATCCACTGTAACCATGGAATTTTTTTTTTGCACTTACAGATTTCAGGACACTTACTATTCATTATACCAAGTTAATTTGATCCGTTGTTTGAACCAGCACAACCTCTGCAGGCTTTTACTAATTTTTCAATGTCTTAATCCATTTTGATCCAGATAGCTTCTCAAGAGATTTCATCCTTTGAAATTCCCGGATGTTCACTATGAAATTCATTTAATATCTGTTGTTGTAATATGCTAGGTATTACAGTACTCTGTCGCATAGCGAGTAAGCGTTCAAGTCTGGATTGCGTTCTAAAAATCGTCTATATTTCTTACATTCTATTAGTGTTTTTTTAATTTTCGAAAGAAACATGTCTGCATGTAGTTCGCGTGCTAAAGGGCATAAAATAATTTAAATTTCTATTTCGCTTTTTAATGCTGCTATAGCAGTCTCCTCAAACGTTTCAGTATTTTCTATAATCATCAGTAAATCTTAATATTTTGGGCGGTTGGTGTACCATCCTGAAATCGTAATTTAATAAGATGTTACCCCAGTGTTAGAATCTATTCGCTGTATTCATAAGAATTCTTTTTTCGAACCATAAATTGATAATGAGGTCGATGGTCCGTCTGCAAACGAAAACTCCTTCCGTGTATAAAGTTGTAATTTCTTTTACACTGCATATATTATTGTTAATGCCTTTTTTCTATCTTTCTGTAGTTTTTTTCTGTCGGTAATAGCCAACACGAAGCACGTGCGACGGATTTCATGTTGCGGTCATCATATTTATGTAGAATTACCGCTGCTATTTCATAGTCACTGGCAACTGAAGCCAATACGATTTCTGTTTTTGGATCGTAGTGCACTAATGATAAGTCTGACTTTTATATTTTCTTGATTTCTTCAAACGCTATCTGACACTTATCAGTCATGTTCCACTTTATGTCATTTTTTTTTTTAAAAACCCTATTCAGTGGAGCTTCCAAATTCTGTAGATTAGGTATACAGATTTAATAATAGTTTGCTAGAAATGCTTGTAACATAGTAACGTTTTTTGGAGAAGGCATATTCTTAATTGAACTTGCCCTCGACAGATAAGCAACTGCGAAACCACAATCTGCAAATATAGTAATCATAGCTTGTTGAAATATAGCTGCAGCCAAATTTATCCCAAAGGGGAGTTGGTTGAACTTATACAGTCCCTTGTGCGTATTTACAATTATTAACTCTAAATATTCTTTTTCAACTGGTTTTGAAAATACGCTTCAGAAAGATCCATGTTCAAAAAATTTCCTCTAGACTTAGTAATGACTAGCAGTAGAGCCCGGTGTTGCCCGGGGATATAACAGTAAGAGATAGATCAAGTATCCACCATCATAAAGACTGAAAAATAAAATTGACAAAGATTATTGTTTAAGGTTGACGGACACGCATGTCTTAATTGTTTTTTTTTTTTAGGAATTGGTCAAACCCAAACTCAAACAAAAACATTGTTTTCAATCGTTATGAGTCTCTACCGATTGAATAGAATTTTATTATAAACAATTGTCTTGTAAATGAAATTTTTAAAGCATTCTGAATGTAAAAATAAAGAAAAAAGTGTGCAAGACAATAAGAAACACTACATGCCAAAAAAAAGTGAAGTTTTGTTGAAATCGGTTGAAAAGTGTAGGTAGCCTTTCTGTAATATTTTAGTTTTACAATTTATGATTTTTACTTATTGAATACACAATTTTGCTTGTGGCGATTCATAATTAGAATTCTGATTTGAATATATTTTCCACTCGTTGTTTCTAATACAAAAAATATTAACTTTATTTGGGTTTATTAATTATGATCTAACAAATCTTATTCATTTAGTAGCCTTTCTGTAATAATAATCTTTTACAATTTATGATTTTTACTTATTGAATACAGTAAAAAAATTGGACACCATGTGTATTTAAAGTAGTTTGCGGTTATTATTTTTAGTTAGGACTTGTGTATGTTTAGATTTCATTATCTTTCCCTAAAGATAAAGAATTTATCCGATGTTTGTATTCGTACAATCAGTAGAGATCGTTAGATTATTGTTTAAGGTTGACGGACACGCATGTCTTAATTAGTTTTTTTTTTTTTACGAATTGGTCAAACCCAAACTCAAACAAAAACATTGTTTTCAATCGTTATGACTGTGTCTTCCGATTGAATAGAATTTTATTATAAATAATTGTCTTGTAAATGGAATTTTTAAAGCATTCTGAATATTAAAAATAAAGAAAAAATGTGCAAGAGAATAAGAAACACTACCTGCCAAAAAAAAAGTGAAGTTTTGTTTTATCGGCTGAAAAATATAGGAAATCCGATCCCATATTTAAAGGAACACACACACACACACACACACAAACAACCCGATGTGAGTTGTCCCCCTTCCATTTTCACGATGTCTCTTAATCGTGTTTTCAAATTGATTTTGTGCAAAAACAATTATATTTTTCCCATTTTTGGCGCTGTTAGAACCACCCCAAGGTAATTTTATGTAGTCCTGTGAAGTTTTGTTGAAATCGGTTAAAAAATGTAGGAAATCCGATCCAATATATAAACGTTACACACACACACACACACACACACACACACACACACACACACACACACACACACACACACACAACAATCTGCGTTTTATAATAAGTAAGATTAATAAATGGATTCTAAACGTTTGTATAGCTATGTCGGAAAATCCGCACAAACACGAATTTTAATTTATTTTTTACATACACTACTGGTGCTGCCATTTTGAATGGTCAGTGTTTTCAATTACACCTATCTTTTCAAGCCTGTGTAATTCTTTGCTGCGAACGATACACTAGGTTTCGCTGTGAACATTGGCGTCGACCTTTTTTTCACTTGAAATTTCTCTTTGACTTTGGAACTCCGACCCGACTCATTCGACAGAACACCCGGAAAACATTTTTTATTTTTTCCTTTAATTTTTCACTCTGTTTTTTTAAACTTATCGGTTATCCACTTACATTTTTGCAATAAATATTTATAAGTGAGTTCCATCCAGTCAGTACCGAATAAGTTTGTAGTAATTTTAACACATAAGCCTTAGATTTTTGCATACTTGCTTCAGAATGAGACGTTGCAAGTCATTTCGCCAATAAAAATAATTTCTCACCTGACACGTCACGTGCGATTTTCGAAGTTATATTAATATAGGTTATCAATTGCTTTCCATGTAGGTTCGTTGATTGTGATATCACTACTAGTGTCTAGTTGCATTTTTGTATCCATATTATTTATTTTCGCATACACACATTTTACTTGTTTTGTTTTGCCTTCCTTTAGTTTTACAGTGTGACTTTTTATGTCATGCATTTCCACACTTGTAACCCTTGGAATTCTTAAAGAGCAGTCGAATCTGAGATGTAACGTTATTCATTTGAAACTTAGATTAATTTTTTTTTTTTTCCACTTTTTACTTTAGCTTGTATGTATACACATTCCTTTTCTTCAATTTCTTCGGAATCGCGTCTCAGATTTTGGTTTCTCTGACATTCGTCCGATATTTCTTGTAGTGTTAGTTTTTGATTCTGTTCAAATTTCGTTAGAATTCTCGCTCTTATTTCTACGTTATTTTTGGCCGTTAATCCTTGTAAAAAAAATAACCCTTTAAACATCTCCGCAGTTCGTTTAATTTGAATCTTTCACACTCCTTGTTAACAATTCCAACATATGTGACAAAATCTTCGTCTTCTTTTTCGTCAGATTCATACACTTCCAACGAGTATTGAATAATGAACATTTCTTGCTAAAAATTTTAGTCATAATATTTACTGTTTCTTCAAAGAAAATTTCTCCTCTTTTTTTAGGTAGTACAAAATTACAATTTTTTCATGTTCTATCGGTGCTAACTTTCTTAACTAGTTTTTACTCGTTTTCACAGTTACTACATTCTTCCCTGAAAATTTGATCGTATCTACTAAAATAAGCAGAAAAGGTAATTCCATTATCTGAATTGTATGTGAATTCAGATATGGCATTTGCCACCGCCCGCGAGTGAATAATTTGGAAAATTTTCCGTTTAACTCTGTTGTTGTTGCTGTTGTCTTTTTTACCACTTGGGGTAATAATTCTTTCATATTTATAGAATAACTTTTATTTTTAACTATTTTTCTTTTTTACACACACACACCAAAGAAAAAAAATTAAACCAACGTGGTTCTAATTTCTCATCGTTACTCTTAACATGTGCGTCGAAGCAAAAAAACAAAAAACAAACAAACAAAGTTTTTCCTACTTTGCATGAGTTTCGATCCCACGTCGCCACATTTATAACTCACTCCTACCGGTTATTATATTATCTCTTCCTTAGGCGTGAAGTCTGTTAGAAATTCTCCTAATTCTAACAGACTTCCCTGACTCACTTGTAGTTCTTTAAGACGTCTTGCCTAGTTTATTTGTGTTACCTGGTGCGTGTTATTTACTCACGACAATATATATATATATATATATATATATATATATATATATATATATATATATATATATATATATATATATATAGGATTAATATAAATATAAGATTTGTCACTTAGATGATTGGTATTACCTTCGGCATTCCGACTCTTGTTTTGTAAACTGACCATCATTCGATCCACTTGTCATGGGATTCGCTCTGTGTCTGATATTCAGCACTTTTACCCATAAATATAACATACCTTTTAAACTATTTGTATTATATATATATATATATGTAAAACGAAAATAAATTT